CCCCAAAAAAAAATCCATTAAAAAACCAACTGAAAGTCAAAAGCCCATATACGCAAAACCATAGCTCTGGACTGAAGTTTTGTGCTCTTTATAGGTATAGATAGAACTCTTGGTATATAAGTTTTGATGTATATACTAGTTCAAAGTACTAATTATGATTTTTGTTTCCCTCTGCATCTCTCTCCTCACCACGCACAGCCTGAATACTAGCCTTAGTGAAACCAGCAAATACGCTGAGAAGAGAGGTTACAGCCCAGGCCCAATCACCCCTGTATTGCCCACTGAAGCTCAGCTGCAGCAGAGGTATTTTTCCAGCCCATTTGCTAGACAAGGTTGTGCAGGCACAGATGTTCCCAAGTTCATTAATCCCATTGATGGTGCCTGGATGTCATATAGGTATTAAACCCTGAACTGCACTGAGCTGTTGGAAGTGACACTTTGCTTCTAAATATTTGGATGAGCTCCATGAACTTTACCAATATACGCAGAAAGCTTAGAAATTCAGGTAGTGGTTTTCTGAGAGTGTGATTTTGAATACAGATACATAAAGCAACAGTAGGAATTTATGCTTCCATGTTAAATTTAGGAATCTGAAATACCACAACAAAATGTAAGTCAAAAAGTTCCTATTATTTCTCACCTCTAGCTCTCAAATTTGAATGTGAGTGGGCAATCTCTGAATTAAGATTAACAACAAATTAAGTCAGTAAGCACCATGATGAATATGTGCATTCCCATTCCAGATATTTTTTCTAAAAATAGCAGCAAAAAATACCCTTCATTTTATTATTTCATTTGTATGGATGAATATGGGGAAAATTTTTTTTTTTAGAAATGTACCTTCCTATAATTAAGTACAGTGTATAAATTATAGTGGTATAGTTTACATGGCAATAAGGGACAAAGAAGAGCCTGCAGCAACACGAGCAACTCAAATGCTGTTAAAAAGGGAATTTTAATCATAAATTTTACATTGCTTCAATTTTATACCTCATTACTTTTCTTCCCATGCTCCATTTACTAAACACAATTTCATGTATATTCAATATTTAATAATGCCATTATTCCCATTTTCCTTGTACTTGGGCTGGGTTTTGCTTTTCATTATGTAACAGTTCACTGGACTTGTCCAATTTGAAGCTTCCTGCTTTTTTCCTGTTTAAACAGCTATTTCCATCCCTGTTATTTTTAACAGCTCTGTATGTTTGTCCAAAAAATGCTCACAGAGAATCAGTGGAAAGTATTAAGTGAAAATTACAAAGGTATTTGTACACAAAAGTTCGGTATTTAGCCATTTATACTAGACCATAATCACTGACTAGAAAATGATGGCAGATAAGATGATTGCAACAGAAAGTTATAAATAGTCTCTGCTGAGCACATGACCATGGAATAATCAATGTATATTAGATGTAATCATCGGCTGAATAACAGGGGAAAAACAAAAGCAAGTCTGTGCTGTGTGCCAGGTGCAATATTGAACAGCTATTCTTTTAAAAAGACGAGAACGGCCTGTATGACTGCAGTGTGTTTACACAAAGACACCTGATCTCCCTTTTATGCACACTCACAAACCACCATCAGTGAACAGAAAGTTATACCAAGAGACCCCCACGTGTACATCATATAGCTTTAAAATACCTCTTTAGTCAAACATGGCTCCCATACGTGATACTTAAAAAGATATTCATCAGCCAAAGTATACAGGGTATACCATTAAGCTCCCATTCTCCCATGTATACAAATTCTTATCTCTTAGACTGTATGAAAGCATAGCAAGAACAGACTGTGAAGACCGTAACTCAAACCTCGCATCAATCTGCTTCTCTTTCAATAAATCAAAAGCAAAACTTACTGTTGTATCCTTAGTATCAGTAACATACATAATGCCACATGCTATGAATGCATTACCAGCCTTGGACTTAGGATATGTAGTATTGATATGTCGAATGACTGAGAACGTCTCTTCATCAATATGTGCTACTATTATATTTTCATCAGTGCTTGAGGCATATATAATCCAAAGACCCTTCTCATCCACTGCTACGTTGAAATACGTCTTCGAGTTAGAAAAGAGGTAGTTACGACCGTGATATAAAGCATTTTCAATTAGCAGTGTGCCCAACGATGCTTTATCAAGCCCAAGTCTGAAATGAGATAAAGCAAGTATTCAGTATGTTGTCTTAAGAATTTGTTTTTACACACACTGGTTGGTTGAATCAATTCACAATGCATCATTACTGATAGGAGCATTGTTGAAAATACTTGAATTCAAGGACCATTCTGATGTCTTTTAAGATGAAGTACTGCACTCAAAGCACCTTCCAAAACACTAGGAGAAAATTCCAAAGTAATAACCAATCTAAAAGACGCACAAGAGCATGAACTCACTTTGGTAGGTTTCACTTTATTTAGTCTATAAGCTTTATTATCACTGGGATGAAAGAAGCAACTAAAAGGAATGGGTATGAAAAAGAATTAGATACCAGATGAAGGCCCAAACTTGTGAAGTGAAATCTGTACTGAAGTTTGCTTTCTACTAGGTGGGAACCAAAGGCAGAAAATGTGATTGACCAAACCAGCATGAATTCTGGGCAGATTCACCTAGTCTTAGAGTTCCTCGTTTGACAATAGTTCAGATAATGCAGTGATTCACTCAAGTAAGCATCAAAGGAATAAAAATTCTACTTTTGCAGAGCCAAAATTCTGACCTCATGCCAGCCTCCAACAGGACAGCCTGAATGTCTCATCTCTGATGTAGAAAATTGTTTTTATTCCTTGAAATTCCTTAATAGGATGATAATCTGAGGACAGCAGCACTTAACAGCTAAATTGAGTTCCTCTACTAGTTTAAGAGGGTAATCAGCTACTATCAAGACACATTTGCAGTTAGCATTTAATCACTGAATAACACAGTGCTTTAAAGGATAAAGCATACTCTCTCTGCCTTTGCTAAAGTAATGCCTTCTGCAGTGAAGTGCATTTCATCATCTGACTTCTAACTAACTGTATAGCCCCATTCCTCAAATAGAGGAAAAACACTACTCAATATAGGAACCTGCTGCAGTTACAAAAGTTTTCTGAAAAGACAGGCTCAATGACAGGAACATTTCAGATCCAGAAACTTAGAGTAGAAGAAAAAAATAGCAGAAGGATAATTTTTCTGTGGAGGCTGCAGCGATAGCATATACTGAAAAAAGTCCTAAGAAACATCAAGAATGACTAACTAGATGATTCCCCTCAGCTTTTGTAAAATTCATGTCTACAGCAACTCTGTATTCCAGCAGCATGTATGTGCGATAAAAAAAGGCTTCAAGGCTGAAGAAGATTTAAGAGAAATATGCGTGTCAACCCAGTTAGTTGTTTCATGTTTGTAAATAACCTCATTCAAGGGCAAGGACTAGAGGACAGCCCTTAGCAGAAATAATCACATAGAAATGCAGATTTTCTTCAGGGTTTTTTTCTATTAAAAAGCCAGCAAGCTAAAAAAAAATCTCAAGATTCATTGGAAATGTGCAATATCTACACCACAGAACACCCTTTTTCCTCTTTTTTATGTGAAAATCCTGAAGAAAGCAGAAAAGTGAGGTTTCATTCCTGAGGTTCTCTTCCACTCTCCTAGTTAAGAATCAAGGACAGTCTAACCTAGAACTTCAAATGGTTCAGAAATTCCTTAATCTTCTGGCACCTTGAGGTAAGTGACAAGACATAGTGTAATATTTTCATCAACTGCTGGAAACTCAGGCTACAAACTCTTCTCTGATCACTAAGATGAACGAAGTCAACAAAAAATAACAGAGATGGGAAAGCACGTTATGAAACAAAGGAAGAAAGACTGACGCAATCATAACGTCAGGGATCTGACCATCATGAGAAAACCTGCCAAAGGTCAGACAAACCTAGTTCTACCAGCTTTTAAATATGACTGGAAAGTCCTTTTCAGTATTTTTTTCAACATTTGCAAAATGAACCAACAAGGTCCTCACCTATTCTTTCTATTACATCAATACATAAACTCCCAGAAGCTTTCCTGCAGCCCAAAATCGAGGACTTCAGTCACAGACTTCATAGTGCCTCATCCTATCTGTGCTGAAGGTAAATAATCAGAGTGAATAACTGAACAGAAAGGCCATCTCCCAGCAACTTCTTAGAGAGGTTTTGAAATTCCACAAATAGCTTGTGTTCATCTCTGCGTGAAGGCATTTCCCAATTAACGGTACCCATGCAAAAGTGAGGAACTTCTGTCCTATCACTGTGTATTGCTTAGACAGATATTGTCTTTGACAAATGTATAAACAAAAAGCCCTAAGGATATTGAAAGGAGGCTGCCAAAAAGTGGGCTTGTCTTTGGCAGAATAAATATTACAGAATCCAAGCAGCTTGCTCACATTCCTTGGCATCCAAATAAATATAGAAAGGCAGCATTCACACCTGCTTGGGAATAGACATCAAAGTATAGTAATGTTCTTGGCTCAAACATCAGAGTCATGCAAGAGAAATTGAAAGCATATGCAATCTTTCCCTTGCCCTTGGACTGTCTGTCTTTGGCTCTTCGCACAAGAAGAGGTTTTGGGTTTGATTTGTATTGTCTGTCTCTGCCCTCAGTAGAAACTCACATAGAGATGCAATTCCCAGTTCCAATTCAGGGAGATGCATTAGGAGAGTTGTAGGAACTTCTTATTACAAGGAAATCAAACAGCAGAGCCACTCCTCCACAGTTGGAATGTGCAGTTCACCAGGTCGCCATGTCCTCAGCTGGTGCCTTAGTGCATTCCTCTGCACTAGCACCATTAACTCAACTCCTACCAGCCAAGAACAGCGCTATCTGAGAGCAAAGCATGTGCATCCATCCAGCAAGCAGCTCTGGAAAGCCAAGTTCCACAAATGGGCTATAATCATATAATCACTCATCTGTGTCCCCCAAACTGCAGCTGAACCAGCTCTTACTCTGATGCAGGTAGGTGGACAGCTTATTTTTTTAAATCAATTGCTTTTTTCTGACCCCCAAATTCCTTAGTCTGTTCAGATTTCTTTCTTGCAATTATGAACACAGCAAAGAATCCAAGTGCAAGAATACTCACAGCAATGTGACATACAGCAGAAACCTGTTGGACCCCAGGACAGACAAAAGAAAAATCTGTTGTCACCTCTGCACATGGCATCTTGTTAATCTGGAGGCCCAGTTGTCCTGTCCTGTAGTAACTACTCAAGGTAACCACTCAGAGACAGAGCTGAACAACACTTAAAGAACTGACTGTCACAGCAGAGTAATGGACCTGGACTACCCTCCCAGTTCCTCTCCTCCCACAGCCACACACACAGATGGAAGGCCAGTGGCCCACATTCTCGTTATAGATGGGAAAGAATTAGTTGTTCTGTTCTGAAAAGAATTTGGAACCATTCCTCCATTCTTCCTATTCTAGATAGGACCAAAGAGAAACATGAAATGGCACAAGGAATGCAATCTGCTTTTCTGAGGTTCATCTTTGCCACACTTAACCCATTGCTCCTCCTTCCACAACATCACTTGTCTTAAGCCCACTATGTTTGACTTACTTCAGAATGACATTGGTTCCTCCCTTCTGATAGTACAGGTGATTGTTTTGTACTGCATGACCACATCCGTAAAAGAATCCTGTGATGTTAATGATCCTGTAGCTGTCATTCAGCAAGGCATTGGAATTCTCATACTCTTTTATAGAATTTCCTGAACGAAGGGGAAAACATGGAAAAAAAAGGACTATCATAGAATTCAATCTCTTCTGAAAGTAAATCTCAATCAAAAATCTGACAGACAACAACTGTATTCGTGTTTTCAATAGTGATTCAACTTGATGGAACATAAGATAATCCAGAGATGAACACACACACAAAAAAATCATCTATAGAGGTGTTCAAGGGCCTGCTTCCCACTGACCTGATTGGCCCTAATTCTGAACACAGTTGGTAAATACACAGAAAATATTTCCTTTTTCCACTTAGGTCCTAGAAATTTTCCTGCACTAAATGTCGTTCATGCAGCATCTGATTCATTTTCATGGCTAGGTAAATGAAAAGGCGGAACTCCTAGCTACAATTTAGGGAAGTAAAGCCATAGGAAACTGTTGAAAGAAAAGCATAAAAAGGCATAAACAACAGGCATTTAAACTTGAATTGGTTAAAGAAACTAAAATCCTCAACTATTTTCAAAATCTGATGTTGACTCTGAAAATGTCTAAAGATACTACAAATGTCTAACCATATGTATAGTCAAATATTATACAGGTAATGTGGAAAATACTCTGAAGAAGATGTGGGTGAAGAGCCCATCATACTTGATTAGAAATATTAATTTAGGCTAAAGGAATTAAGCAAGCAATATTAGTATAGCAACTTATTTTTGATCGGTGACTGCTACTAATGTACCTGAAAAATGCATGGTAAGCCAAATCCTTTCATCGCTTATATTTGCAGGTTCCCGCATCCAAGTTCCAAATGTTTGCTGTACACTAACAAAGTGAACAGGACTTCCCACAGATGTTATGACACATTCTAGTAGAGAAAAAGCACATGTCCATTATCTGTGACATTAAAACAGTAAGTAGCAGTTAGTCATGCTCTGTAGAGGGTTACCAGCTTTTTGTGAAGGACCAGGAGTTCTGTCTTCAGCTTTTCCAGCCAGGGTATCATCATTTGGTACAGCACACGTCTCACCTAGAGTTGAGAGAGAAAGAGTAAAACATGACATTTTTCTATATTTGATGTGACAGATGTGCATATCAGTGACTCCACTAAAATAAAGGAATGACAACTGAGAAAAAAGCTGAGGTTGGCCTGGTCAAAAAATGACATTAAAAAAAGACTTGCTCTCTTGCTCTCACTTCTGCCAAGGAAATGAAGTGTTCAGGGCTGGTTTGTTTCCTTAAAGTTGTCAGGTATACAGTCAACTTTGAGGAGTGGCTGACTTCACTCAACAGATTTAATTCCTTAGCTGTGAATTTCTGATTAGCTGCTTAGAAAGACTGAGTTGCCCCTTTCCTTAGATAACTTTAGATAACCAAGATAGCTGACAGCTGGCTGATTTAGCAGTTAATACCAAAAATGCTTTCTTGGGAATGAGTGATGGCTAAACTCAAAAGCTTCATGCCCAAATCTACATACTCTATCAGAGGGGTTGTATTCTGTAAGCAACACTGGAAGTTTTGCTCGTGCTACTAGTGCCTGAGACAGTAATAAAGTACTAACACATACACTGAGCACATAATGCATAAGAATGCAGATCAGTCATCCATGCCATTAAAGAAGCAATGTGAAAGACTAAGGGAAATTACACACTATATTCCTTACACACATAGAAATGGTTCACGTTAGAAAGAAACACCTGGAAACATTTTTCCCCATCCCTCAACAATTTAAAGAGTAGCTTAGTCGGGTTTTCTCTTAGCATTTACTGTTAAAACAATGCCAAAATGAATTGTTTATGGACCTTTTTCTATAAGCCCAGATACCTCTTCTGCCTTTAAAACAATGCAACACATTTCAGTTTGCTTAGACTGAATAACCAGATAACAGTTCTCAGCTCTTTGCTGAAGATACCCTGATTTCATTACAGCCTTGTTTTCTAATTCCATTCTTAACTTTCATCTCTTTACACATTTCATGCTGCCTGACATGCAGGCTAAAAATTCTTGTGGAAATGCATTTTCATTGTTGCCTTCCAATATATTTCTGGGATTTACAGGGCTGTGATGGAAGTTTAAATGAGAAAGATAGTAAAAATATGAAATAACTATAAAGTAATGCTGAAAGGGTAGCATGACATTCAGGAAAGAAAGGACAGATTATACTGCATTGTTGTTTTCTCCTTTAGGTTACATCCTCTCTTTGTTCATGCAGAAGGAAACTATTCCAAGACAGAGCAAGAACAACACATACTTCTCCCATTCATTTATCTAGGACATTTGGTGATATGACATTGAAAGTTTGTAAGTGATCACAGTGTATCTCCAAAGTAAGGCACAAACAGTCAATCCAACCATGGAAAGATGAATGCCTATAGCTAGAATCACCCAATCCCTCTAGATCCCTTTCCAGCCTCTGATCTTAAAATATTGTCAAAATATCCCAAAAAATGAACCCACTCAGCGGAAATTATAAGTTCCAATGCACAAGTTCATTTTCCTAGGCTGAGTCTAATAGACAGTTAACCAAACAAGCAGTTCCCTAACACAGTAGTTTACCGAAGACTATAGAATAGTCAAGGACCAGGTCAGTGTTTGTAATGAAGCTGAGCGCATTATTTGCATTTGAGAACATTTGCAATCTTCTGAGGACTCAGCTGCATGAAACAGAAAGCAACTAAGATTAAAAAGACAGTTTTCAATCAGAGACGCTTATGTGAAATTTTCACTTCTTTCTTTCCATCAAGAGAGATAAATATCCTACTGATTCCTATAATAAAATATTCTCACTGAGAGTTAATGGAGTTTAAAAGACACTAAAACTACTGATTTGGTCTGTCTAGGGAGGGTGGGAAGGATGGAGCAAGGGAGCGTGGAGCAGGGATGTTTCGTTTCTTTCAGAATTAGCTAACGGTACCATTGAGAACAAATATATCTGACCTTCCAACTAATTATTCTCTTCTCTTAAAGAAATAAAGATTTACCTGATTCGAAATTCAAACAAACTATTCTTGTATTCTTATGTAATAAGTTAATTACAATTGTAAATCAGCATGTGTATTCTCTTTTTCTTCAAAGGGACACGAATATTTAATTACAAAAAGCTGTTTTATTCTTTGAATTTTGGTAATAAGATCTCACAGCCTGCTGACTCATAAAATATAAGTGCTCATTGAGGAAGATCTCATCTTTGCAGAGTTATTTGAGTATAACTCCCATTTACACACTGGGATTTAAAATCCATCAGAAATCCATCAGCTTATCCTCCAAAGCACTTCAGTCTGTTTCAACACTTGAGAAGAGGCTACCTGAGTAAATGGTCCAATTATATCTTGTACAACAGTTCATGCATTTCTGAATTTCAAATAGGATGAGATTTCTGCTCCAGCTATCTACTTTCCATTGTAAGAAGGCTCTTTGGGCTCCATTCTGATAATTCAAAACCCACAGTCTCCTGACTGAGGTTCTTATATGCTACTACAGTTACAATTACATGCTATATTAAAAATAAGAGGCAGAAATAATTGATATATGTTCCACCCAATATTAAATATTCTCTGGTTAATAGCATTTATAATAATAATGAAAAAAGATTTTTCATCTCAGCAAACTGTGGAGAATGGTGGTGACATAAAAGCATAGCAAAGCACCCTGTTAATGGTGACACATGCAAATTGCTCTGCTTGTTTCACACTTAATAGCTGCACAAAGTTCTTGTGCTATTCCCTTTCGGTATGCCTATCAAGAAATTACATTCCCAATTACAAAAGAAACCCTACTTTACCAAACACTATCACAGATAACTCTCTTTTCCAGCAATGGGAAAGATTAGTAACCGAGACATCTTTTGCTATTCTTTTATAGGATCACTCTTAACCTCCCTGAAAACAGGCATCTCAGCTGGGAGGAAAATTCATCCCAGAACTGTAGGGTTAGCAACAGTCACTGAAAACTACAACCAGCTCGAATGCAATACCATCCAGGGTAAAAGACAAGGACAGCCAGATCCAGAACAGCATGTAGATCCAAAACCAAAAGTTTGCTTCCATTCTCAGGCCGGAGTAAGGTAGAAATACAATGCTGTTGTTGCACCAGCTTCTCTTTGCTCTCCATAATCAGCTAATTGCTTGAACCAAAATTTTCCAGTTACCACAATACCATAGTGTTTGTAGAACCCATGTTCCTGAGCATCCAAATTGCAAGCTCCTCTCATCTTCTACTGCTAATTCTGCACTGGCAAGGAAAAAAAAAAAAAAAACCAAACAAAAAAAGGCTCTCCTCTTCCAGGCTCTCTCCTTTCAAATCATTCATCCAGAAACAATTTGAAATGCAAATCTCTAAACCAGATTTTTTGAGAGAGAGAGTTTTCAGGAATGTATGATAACGTTTTTGGCCAAAACTTTCAGATGTCCAGCAACTTCAGACATCCATCTTGAAATACCTCTAAAACATGGCTGCTGGTTTTCACAACAAAATGAGTAAAGAATGTCCTTGAGTTCCAAGCACCAGGCTTCCCAACTGCACCCACTCCCTCCACGAGCCTGAACTGGCACTGAAAAGCATTAGAAAAATCAAACCCTCATTTAATACTTCTAATTCAAAACAGAATTGTTTAGAACATTAAAGAGGTCAAAGATCACAGAAATTACATTTTCTTTTCAATGTTGTTGAAAACAAGCTGATTACAAAAGTTGCAAATACCTTCACAGAGAGTCTCAATGTCCCTGTTAATCTCTTAGAAACTATTCCCACTCAAACATGCAAAAAAAAATTCAAGCCTATCTGAAAAATCCAGTTTAAAACGGAATTTTTCTATGATAAATATAAATATCTGTAAAACTATAGTGAGAAATGTCTTTATTATAGGTTTTTAGAATATTTATTAATATAGTCTTTGGTATGACTTTGACATTAACACTTTCTTCCACAAAGTATTTAGCTATTATTAGTATGTTTAAATCCATATAAACTTCAGGCATGGGAAAATATGCTCAGTACACTATATCTGTCAATGTATTTACACAATACACCATTTCAGACAGCGGAGTACTTCCAATCAGCCAGCTGCTGGAGGAGGAGACATTTGCCAACTAGCTTTCTCCATGTGTGCTCCACACAGCAGAGGCAGCGCTTTACTAATTAAAACACACACATAGGCACGTGCACACACACACACAGATTTTATGAAAGACACAACTTTAACCTATTTGAGAAAAAGATCTTCTAAAACATGAATAGAAGTTTTGACATGAAATACTGACATAATTTTTCAACAAGCCACAATATCAAGTTCAGTCCATAAGGATTTACTGGTATCCAGCACACTTGAAAATCACACCAGAGATATCTCATGGCAAACTCTTAATTATGTCAGCACCCTAATTGGTGACCTAAACAAAAAAAGCATAGCAGCTGCTACACTTCAGCAAACAGTCTATAACCTGGTAGTCTGGATAATGTTAGAACCAAAAGATAAGTATCTGCTGTGCAATTTGCGGCCACACTTTGAAGGGAATCTACTGCCTTTAATTTGTCCTTTCTCAGTATTAGAGTTGGCCATATATCTCACCAACACAGCTACAGTAAAGGAAATAAAAGGGACTCGTGATCCACCTGTCATTTGGGATACAATAATGATAAATAGCAACAATAGAAAAGAACTCATCACCGTGCTCCAAAACTTACATATTACAGTGGACGCAAAGTCTCAGAGAATCCTTTTATGTTCCTCCAGCTTTTAAAAGTTTTGCCAATGACTAGGCAATTTCATTTTGTAGGACAGTGAAATGTAGCCTAGTTAACAGGTGTTATATTTACACATAAAATTAAAATTCGGCATTTAAAAGCTAAAAATTTCAACTGCTTTTCTCTTACTTTCTAAACATATCCATTTAACAGAAAACACCATGTGGAAATACTTTGCCTGAGCATTAGCATAGCACGATTAATAATAACAGTGACAGCTTGCTGCCTTATCCAAATTATATGTCAGCAAAACACCTAAGCCCATGCTCAGCATTAGGTTTGCGCAGTTTTACTGATTAAACACATGCTTACTCTTTTGTGAGAGTCAGAGCAATGGGTTAAATCTTGAACCTGTTTATAACACTAAAAAGAACACTGGAAAGAACTAACCTGTGCATTTGCTGCTGTATATGTTCTCCTGCAGCTGTGCTTTACCTTTATCTTTACGTTTTCCTGGAGGCCCTGGGGGTCCCGGTGGTCCAGGGGGCCCTGGTGGTCCACGTTCACCTTTTGCGCCTATGTACAAAACAGAGTACAATTGCAGGCCCTGTAAGCAACAGGCAACCTGCAGAGAACTGTAAATGTCCACACAATGGACTCAGAGATCTCTAAAACAGCCTCTCTTCTTAAGAGGTTTCTGTGTACAGAAATATGGTGCAATAGACTCACTGGGATGCCGTTTGTTAGGTGAGCCATACGGAACTTCACAAATTGTAGGATATCAATGCAATATATCTATCTGGATTACAGGCACATTAGCCAGTTAGAAAGCACTGTTGCCCTTCACTTACTGTATTCTAAGGCCTCAATTTCAGAGGCTACAGTGCTATAATTTTACACAGCTTATATTTGTGGCTGCTTCGTGTATTCCTGAGTGGAAATCTGCCCCTCTTTTTCTAATAGAAAAATAAAACTACACTGCAAGAAAGAGTACGAGATCAACCAACTGTCTGGAAGTGAAGTGGAAAGGGTGGAATTCACATACCCCTCAACCCAAAGTCCAAGCAGGCAAGTTTTTGTGAAAATTTGCACTAAAAGAGAACATAATCTCCTGGGCAGACCAATACTCCAACTTCACTATGGATAATGTGGTTATGCTGGTTGGTCCTACTCTTGCTGATCACATTCATGCTTCAGAAGCAGAGTATGTCTTTTTCACGTCGAGTACACTAGTGCAAGAGAGCTCCTAAGAGCACTTCTTCCTACCTTCTAATACCACATCATTGTTTGCATCCCCCTTTTCACCCTTTGCTCCTCTTGCACCTTTTCCTCCTGGCATACCATCCTTGCCAGGTAAACCCATTTCTCCAGGTTCTCCTTTCTGTCCTTGATCACCTTTTGGTCCTGGCACACCTAGAAATAAAAAAGCATTTCAGTATCAAGAACACTGTTCTGGCACTAAACATTAATCAATCCTTTTTTTTTTTTTTTTTTTTAAACACAAACCATATTCACTCTAGTTGTGTTTTTCACCTGCATTTAAACTGGGTAGCTGTAATTTGTTCTGATTTCAAAAAACATTGTAACCTAATATGAAGGGAAATGGCATATAATCCATTTGGTGCAAATAATACATTCTTTACCTAGTGATCTCTGAGCTTTGAACATGAAATATACAGACCTGGGCCTTGTTACCACTGGATGGAGAATTTCTGGGTAAGTAGAATACTAAGGAAAGATGTGAAGTAATATATTTCTTTCACATTGGTAAGGTATTAAAGAAGGGCATTTTCATGGTTCCTCTAGACTTCTTCTTAAAGTAATTATGCACTAACATTACAACACATATTGTACTTAAAACATTTGCCACTGTCCCAACAGAGCACAGATACAGCTGTCTAGCAACATTTTCACTTGGCTGCTATAACCCTCCCTCTTCACGTGTTAAAAGCATGATCAGTCCACATACTTTTTGTGCTTGATTGTGTAGTAATGTAGCATATTTAACACGATCTTCCTTTGCCCTGTGTGATTTAGTTTCACAATAAGGAAAAGAATGGTGTGTTTGTACAACTGACACATCAAAACCTTGCACCCTCTACTTTTGTGGCGCTTAGTATTTTCTTGCTTTAGGAGAGAAGTTGTACAGTTGTACAAATAAAAATGTCAGTACTCCTACAGGCATAAGTTTCAAATAAGTTACATTTGTTAGTACTTGAGAAGAAAATGCTTGGTTTCTACTTACAGTTTTACTATTTAAATTGATTTTGTGAAATCAGAAATAGAATTACAGTTTTGGGGTGAATCCAAAATGTGTCTTTGGCACAACTACCACCTGACTTTCTGAAGACCTGTTCTCACTTTAATTTCCAATTTTAAAAATCCATTGAGGATACTAAAGTGACAGACCAGTTAGCACCTCAAGATACAGCAGACAATTGTTCCACTTGTACCTGCCAGCAAGCCCAAATGGATAGGTGCACAAACCAGAATAACAGATGGGCCACTATAAATACCACCCTGCTAACATCAGCCTGTCTACTCATCCACATACCCTTCCTCTTCTCTACCCCTTATTCTACCACTCTGTTGCCCTTTTGCCTCCTTACCCTCCTACCACGCACATCCTGCTGCTTTCTCACTCTGCCTTGAAGGCACCAATTATCCATCAGTGCTTGCACATAGCTGTTGTGCATCAACTAGACATCAGTGGATAAACCAATTACTGCTTTACAACTTCACAGTGGTTTACAGGCTCCGAGCACAGCAACTGCCTCCCTGC